GAGGAGGCCTACTCTATGCGATCTGATGGGACGAAGGGAGGTAATCGGCAGAAGGCGGTCTCTCAACGCAGGGAGCACACCCCACACCCAGGAGGTCCCAGGAGGCTTCAGGGAGGCCTGCTAGGCCCAAAACATAGCAATTGGGGGGGGGGGTATTTGTGCATGCATATGGGGGGGAGCATTGGGGGTATTGCATGCACATTGCATTATGGGTGTGGGCATGCGTGCTGTAGCATGCACATACACACTTTCAGCACCTGAGGAGAAAAAGGTTAGCCTCACTGAACTATGGAGTCCTTGGTGCTCTCTGAGCTTAGTGGTTTTCTTGCAGATACTTAGTTATGCAGGTAGTTGACATCATAAATCCTTGTACAGGTAGTTCTCAACTCATTACTTTTTTAAACACTGATCCGAAATTATGATAACCTTGGAAATGTTTCTTTATGACCTGTAAAGCACTTCTGCCTGTTGCAAAATATCTCACCTGCATTCCTGCATCATATGATCACAATTTGGATGCTTGGCAGCCTGTTTGCATTTATGATCAGTTGCCAAGTATTCTGCGATCACTATTTGCAATGTTCTCTGCTGACTTCCCGACAAAGTCGGTGAAAAGCTGGCAGGGAAGGTTGCAAGCTGCTGTTGCCTGCCAGTAGGATTCTCTCTCAAGTTCTTGGAGAGCAAAAGGGCTGCCTGCCAGAAGATTTCAGCTCTGTTGGAAGCTGAAATCCTTTGGCAGGCAGCACTTTTCTCCATCTGCTTAAAGGACCGGGGATTGCGCAGTGAATGCAACCAGGAGTGCCACTTTATGGTTCTTGAGTGACACACTGACATAACTTCTCGTTTAATGCCCTTTCACTCAACAATCACAATCCCACTCCCAATTGCAATCATGAGCTAAGGATCCCCTGAACTGTTATTGAAACGCCAGTACTGGAAAATGTGCAATATTGTTACAAAACTAAATTACTTGTTTTGCATTTTCTTTTAGGGAAAACAAACGATACCGAGTCTACATTGTGATCCCCCTGCTACCTGGTTTTGAAGGTGATATCTCAACAGGAGGAGGCAATGCTCTCCAGGCCATTATGCATTTTAACTACAGGTAACTTAAGAGGTCCAGCCTGGATTCTTTTATTTTCAGCAATGCAGCAAGGCATTTTGGTAAGGCGTGTAAGCAGCTCTCTGATGGATGCTTGGCCCAAATTAAAAAAAAACAAATTGAGAGCAGAGATGGTTCCAAAGTTAAAGGAGCCCTTGGCATAGGGCCCTTTGCTGAAACAGTGTCCTTAGATGAAGATCTTCATTGCTGCCAAGGTTTCATGATGAACAGTTATTACCATGGTTCCTGCAATGCTAGGCTAAAGGAATAAGAGAATAACTGGAAGGGACGTTGGAGGTCTTCTAATCCAAACCCCTGCTCTAGCAGAAACCCTATAGCATTTCAGACAAGTGGTTGTCCAATCTCTTCTTAAAAACCTCCAGTGTTGGAGCATTCACAACTTTCATTTCACTGATTAATTGTTCTAACTATCAGAAAATTTTTCCTTAGTTCTAGGTTGCTACTCTTCTTGATTAGTTCCCATCAATTGCTGCTTCTCCTGCCTTCAGGTGCTTTGGAGAATAAGTCGGCTCCCTCTTCTTAGTGGCAGCCCTTTAGATATCGGAACCCTACTATTATGTCTCCTCTAGTCCTTCTTTTCATTAAACTAGACGTACAGAATTCCAGTAACTGTTTATATGTTTTAGCTTCCAGTCCCCTAATCATCTTTGTTGCTCTTCTCTGCACTCTTGCTAGAGTCTCAACATATTTTTATATCGTTGCAACCCAAACTGCATGCAATATTCCAAGTGTGATCTTACCAAGACATTTCTTTTTATTTCTCCATAATGCACTAGAAGTTTCCTTATCTCTAGGTCACTGAGCTGAAAAGAGAGACTGAGGTAGTATTGTTTTTTCCCCAGAAAGTCAACTCAGCTTTTGAAGCATTGACAGAAATGAAAATGGGGAAGGCCACTTTGGAGCCAGAGTAGGAGCAGTTGATAAAATAATAATGTTACATTTTCTTGTTCACGTGCACATACAGTATTTAGGCAACATGTTGCAGCCTTGTTGTAGTGAATAGGCAAACTGTCTCCACACAATTGCTACAAACCAGACCCTTGGACTAGAACCAAGATGCTGGTTCTTGGTTGTTGTTAGTTGTGAAGTTGTGTCTGACCCATCACGATCCCATCGACAATGTTTCTCCAGGTCTTCCTGTCCTGTACCCTCCTCTAGAGTCCATTTAAGCTCACGCCTATGGCTTTGATGACTCCATCCAGCCACCTCATTCTCTGTCGTCCCCTTCTTCGTTTGCCCTCAATCTTTCCCAGCATTGGGCTCTTCTCCAGTGAGTCCTTCCTTCTCATTAGGTGGCCAAAATATTTGAGTTTCATCTTCAGGATCTGGCCTTCTAAAGAGCAGTCAGGGTTGATCTCCTCTAGGACTGACCGGTTTGATCACCTTGCAGTCCAGTCTGGTCTTCTCCAGCACCACAGTTCAAAGTCCTCAATTCTTTGGCGCTCAGCCTTTCTTATGGTCCAACTTTCACAGCCATCCGTTGCATCCAGGAAAACCAGTTCTACGATATCCTGAGCTAATTGAAGATTAGAAAATTCCACAAATATACATTTAAAAACACTTTCCCAGTTCGATGTTTGAGGTTCATTTTATTTATATGCCGCCCTATTCCCAGCGGGACTCAGGGCGGCGCACAAACCCAAGGAGG